ATTGGTGGTATTTATTTATTTCTTTATCATTGTAGTGAAAGGTTCTATTAAATAATATAGAAAACCCAACAACAAGAACAGAAAAAAACAAGAGTGGAATCAAATTAATATTCAAGACTAAAACCAAAGATACAAGAATCAAAATAGCGAAGACGAAAGAAAGTAAAATACAAGAAAAAATAATAAAGGCGTATCTTAGCAATAATGCTAAGAGCTTTAAACTGTTTTTAATTGACATTTTGTAATCTTATTTTTAGTCAATTCTGAAAACTATATTTTATATGATTCTTTAAATACATTTTTTCATAAATGAACTTGTTCAAATAAAGGAAATATTTAAAACAATTTTGTTTTATGCTATCTTTGCCAGCCGCAGTTATTTGTATTACCTATTTTACAAAGTATTAAAAATGAAACTCTAAGATAAGTATGATTAATAATATTTTTTGTGTATATAGTGCTGATCTGTTATGCAATTAATATGCGTATTTTTTAAATAAATTTTTTTCAGCATACAAATATGTGAAAAACTATAAATACTATGCAATAGGATTCCAAGAAAGTTGTAGCATACTATTGCAAAAGGCTTTGTTCAATGTTTCATTTTTCGTAAATGTACTTTTCAAATAAGGTATAATTAATTTAATTTATGCTATTGCTATCTTCGCCATCTTCGCCGTAGATATTTGTATTACCTATTTTACAAAATAAAATGAAACTCCGAGTTCTGTATGAATATAGATTTTATAATATAAATGCTAATCTGTTACTCAATTGTACACGATCCGCTTTAAAATATATAAAGGATATGGTAATTTTTTTAAAATTTTTGTCATTTAAAATATTGAAAATGATTTCTTATAAGAAATTAGTTTCTTTAATAATTTTTTTGAAATTTTATATTGGCATTGCTAAATATGCAAGAAAAACTCTCATGAAATTGTGTACTTTTTGACAGATTCTTATTTTTATTGTTATATTATTTGTTGAGATTACAATAATTTTAATAATCTTGGCATATGTAAATTTTTAGCTTTCTCCCGCTAGTGCATTGAAGTTCAACTGATTTTTTATCGAATTTTTATAGGTCGAAGAATTCATATTTGTATACCGATTCTTATGAGCCAATTGTGTATAGAACTTTTGGTGTCGACCAATCTAATTGGAATATAATAGCACTACGAATAAAAGATATTTTTGATGGAATAATGGCTAGATGTCGTGGGTTCGGATATCCAGATTATGATGGGTTAGTACCGATATAAATATTAAAAACAAGTAGTATTTAAACCCTTTTATTACTGCAAAATTAAATTAATTGAATTAAAAGTAAAATTCAAAGTTAGGGTTTTGATTTCTCTGACATTTTTTATTTAAAAAATTATTCATTTACTATATATCTTGAACGAAACTATGTAAATTTCGAATAACGTGACATCTGAATGTTTACTAATAAATGAGTCTTTTGTGAAATGAAATATTATTATTTCAGAAATAATAATTATAAGAATATTATATGAAACAATTAACAATCAAAAAATTATTTAGATATTAGAAAAACCACATAATGATAACGGTAACCAATGTTATATGATATATTGTTAATCATTTTTACATTCTAATTTGAGGATTGAACTATGTATCTCACATATAAAATAAATAAATTTCTCAGTTTGAGATCACTTTTTTTTAATTGAACTACCATGGGTGACAATGTTGAAAAAAACAAAAGCAAAAAACAAATAGATCTTTTTAAGGCCCGAATAGCTGGAGAATCACCTTTAATTTTACCATCACATACTCCAATTACTCCTGCTATTACAAATAAAAAAACTGCTAAAAAAGAAATTATCGAAAAGAAATGGACAAAATTTTTTAAAGATTTGCATTTAAAAAAAAAGCAATCACAGACCAATATAGATTAGAAAGAATTTTTAAGTAGACTTGATCATTCAATTATGATAAATAACCAAATTAAAAATTTAGAATATGAAAACAATAAAAAAAAAGTAGCTGATAGATTAATTAAAGCATCTATTCCAAATTTTAGCAACAATGAATTTACATGCAAGAAAAAGTTTCATAAAGCAATGGTATTATTGATAAAAAGTGCAGAAAAAAAAAAACGTACCATTGGATTTTTGTTGGCAGCAACTAATTGGTTTAGGTTTCACGGTTAATTCTTTTAGCGAGGGCAATGAACAAGAAAATCATTCTGTTATCAATTTATTTGTTGAAAAATGTGCTGAGAAATACAAATGTAAGTAACAATAAGTAGTTGTCTTTGTATTTTGCAGAAGGTATACTAATTGTAAATATTTGATATCTATTTAGCTCAATTCGGTCTATGAATATTAGTTTTTCTATGCATTAAAATAATACTAGTTAAGATAGTTTTAATTATGCTTTGTTATGCTGTAAATTTTTAATTTTTTAATATTATTAAGTCATTTCTAAGTTTGAAAGTAGCACATTAAATTCTTACCCGAGTTATATAAAAATAAGTGTATTCTTAGGAAGGCAGAAAGCGCTATAAAATTTTTTTAATCTTATAAAATAAAATTATCCCGCATCACTCAAATGTGAGGTTAATCTTAGGCAAACTAATAGTTCAAAAATTTTATTAATGATCTTGATCTAAACAATATATGTTCTTAGTTACTACAAGTATATTTTATGTTTAATTTTTTGTTAAGATATTAAACGAACTGGCTTTAAGTTCAATTTTGGCCAACATTAATATGAAAAGCTCAAATATGAGTGGTAATTTTAGTCGGTAAATCAAATTTCATATAAACTATACCTGCTTTACAGAAATTACAAATCATATGTAAAATTACCATAATTTTTACATTTCTATTTTGCATTATATAATTTATTTGTAAGATTTTACAGACGGCTAATTATGTATCACAACATTCTTTAACTTGATTTCTTAACTTGTATTTTTTTTAGATTTACACACGGATGGTTATTTATGTATCACAATATTCTTAACTAAATTTTATACACAGCTTATCATGTATTACTACATTGGTTTTTTAACTTGTATTATGCTTGATTTCTTTGTATGATTTTACAGACAGCTAATTATGTATCACAACATTCTTAAACTTGATTTCTTAACTTGTATTTTTTTTTAGATTTACACACAGTTATTTATGTATCACAATATTATTAACTTTGTATGATTGGATTTTACACACGGCTTATCATGTATTACAACATTAGTTCTTTAACTTGTTTTAGCTTGATTTCTTTGTATTATTTTACAGACTAATAGTGTTCAAGATATCTTTTAAAATATTTGTTTCTTACATTAATCACATGAAAATCATAAATCCTGATTTTCTCAAAATCTCATAATTGTCCCAATGCTGTATTACAACATTAACTTGATTTCTTAACTTGTATTTTTTTTGGATTTACACATGGTTATTTATATATCACAAAATTCTTAACTTTGTATGATTGAATTTTACATATGGCTTATCATGTATTACAACATTAGTTCTTTGTATAATTTTACAGACGGCTAATTATGAATCACAACATTCTTTAACTTGATTTCTTAACTTGTATTTTTTTTTAAATTTACACATGGTTATTTATGTATCACAACATTATTAACTTTGTATGATTAGATTTTACGCACAGCTTATCATGTATTACAACATTATTTCTTTAACTTGTATTATGCTTGATTTCTTTGTAT